CCTGGTGAAGACCCCGTCTGAGGGTGCAGGACTCTCTCCCGCTGTTTTCCCTGCTCCGTGTACTTGGCAAAGCAGATAAAAAGAGTCCAGGTACATTTTCCCTTAAGTTTCTAAGGTGAAATGGGAACACTCGATTCTACCCCAAAAAAACAAAACAAAAAACCCTTTCCACCTGCCAAATCTGATACCAAAAGTTAACCGGCTCTCGGAACTCCACTTCTACAGAAAATGCATTAGTGGGAATTTTAACAGAAAAGCCATTATCCCCGTGCTGGTCCTGAAACTTCTGCAAGTTCTTTGCAGAAAGAGACGCGTTTTAATACTAAGGTCTAAAGAAAATAAAGCATTAATTATCCATTAAAATTCCTCTTCAGGAGGGTGGTGGGCCCACGGAGAATGAAAGAATCGGACACGGGAGGTGATCCTGACCAGCTGGGACAACCAGACAAACCAAGAACAGCGCAGGAGTGGCCACTCTCACTGAGCCAGCCCCGAGGAGTGGAGTCCCAGTCGGACAGTGATGACTCAGCAGCTCAAAGCTTCAGGGTTCTCTTCTTCTCTTGATTCTCCCCAGATGAAGGGCCAACACTGTCAATCTGAGAAATCTACATTCCAGTTACACATTTTCATCTTGACAATTTCTCTTAATACATGACCACATCATAAAAGGTCATCAGAAAGTGCGGTCCTGATGTAGTTTCAGGATTAGAATGCTATTTTCCTTCGCTGTTACTCTACTATGTAATTTAAAACACTACTACATGACAATTGATAATTATCTATGAAAAAAAAAAAAACCTCAAGTGAAATAGAGATGGGAGAAAACAATGGCTCTTAGAGACTGGAGTGAAACCAAATAGAAGAGGCCTGCATTTCTCAGGAAGGTACTGATTCCACGTTGAGACAACTATGAGGGTTTTGGGGTTTGTTTTTAATTTAAGAACATGCATCAACAGAAGTGCCTTTCCTGCACACACTCCGGGTTTCAAGGTAGTAAGTATCAACATCATCTCGGGATTTACTGGCATACTTCTTTAGAGGAGCTGAAGCTCTCTGGACCTCCCCATGGAGCACAAGAGGAGAGGGTAATAAGGACCTTGCTTTGCAGACGGAGAAAGTGAGACAGAGGGACTCCTCTCGTACATGACTCACCAAGATCAGCAACTAGAAACCTGGCTTCCTGATTCCTGGGTTAGTGTTCCACACACCCTGCCTCCTTCTCTGAAGTACTATTTTGGTAAAGGTTTCTCTTTCAATAAAGGAACTAGAACAAGTCACATGACTTTCATTCAGGAAAGCCTGTGTGTGTTTTCATTAGCACCTTAGTTGTCTGCTCCTGGGAACAGGGTGGGAGCCGGGCACATGATTGGCTTATTATGATAAGAGCCGGCCAAGCAAAGCGGAAAAGCAAGCATGAGAGAGAAAATAAAGTGTGTGTGGTTTGTCAAGCCATCTCCTTGGAGTTCCAAAAATATTCAGGTGCCCTGCTTGAAGACTTCAACAGACAACACTTTTAAACATAAATTGTGATGGTGTTGCTCTCTTATCCCACGATTCTTTCTGTGGAATATGAATAAATAGTCCTTTTATCAAACAAATTTAAATACAGATGCTTTCAGGGTAATTCTTATCTAATCCGCCTTGTACATACACACACACCAATTTTAGAACAAAAACCTCACTAAAGAGGAATACTAAAATAGCACAGTTTATACAGTATAGGACAATCTATAATCCTAACAACCAAACATACAAAGTTAATTTTAAAAAGCGGTTTTAATGCTCAGTAAATTCAGCAGCAGCACGTCTGTCCCCAAACAACAACACCGGTAAAGATGGCTTAGACTTTTCCACAACACAGCCACAAAACAGAGGATAAGTGCCTTCTCCCTGCTCCCAAGTGAGATGCATACTTTAGAGTTAAAATTTCATCTTCTCTGGACGACCTACAAAGACATAAACACATGTCTGGGTGTCAATCTAAGGGGTACTAACTTTTTAATTGGCTCCAGCATGGAAACTCCACCCCCAGCCCCAATTCTACTGGAAACATCCAAGCAGGAAACGTTGCTGGAACCTTAACTCTTTGTCACCGCTTATCCAAACGCCAAACACTGCCCACGCGACCCCGAATGATTCCAACTCCATGCAGCTCACGAAGCGTTTCCACGCAGAACCCGAGGAGCCGAGTGTGGAAACACAGCCACTTCTGAGGGTCAGGGAAGTGCACCCCATGACTCAGGAAGCTCACTTTCCGTTTTATCTTCAAAGAAATGCTTTGCAAGTCTTCCCTCCATAAATCATGCTCTCAAAGAACACTTATCTCCTGTGAACTTTTTATTTATGGGCATCACAAACCAATGTCTATGCGCAAACAGGAGTTAAATAAAAGTGGATGCTCCTTTCTGGCTCCACAGAACACAAGTAAGCTTCGCCCCCCACCCCCTGCCCCGTTAATTAAAACGAGATCCTCCTCTTCCCTAGTCCACTGTTCTCTGTGCTCAAATTAGTCTACCAGAAATCCATTTAGCGTGTAGGCCTTTTTGAAAGAAAGGAAAAAAAAAAATGGTTTGGACACAATGGATCAATTGTAGGTATCTATTTTGTTTAAAAATAGTCTTTCCCCGTTCTTAAGAGGGTGTTTACCATAACACTCACAGAGACTTTGGGCAAATGGCAATCCAAAGTGATTTCAGTGACCACGGAATTTACAAACTGTTTTGATTTCAGAGCCCTGAATCCTATAGGTTGAGAAGAATGTTATACTGGTGAGAAATAGGGGACAAAACAAGCCAGACCAGGCCTCTCGCTAAACTTATCTCTTGCAGTTTAAAATTTTCTCTCATCTGAAAAGGGCATTATAGCAGCCGTGAATCATGTTTCTGAATGTATCTACTTTATCCGAAAGGCCTTGGATTCCTTCAGGCCTGGAGGCACACACCCCAGCTCGCTCTTCCGCTAACTGCGAGAACCGCCTCCCGGGGCCCTCCTCAATCCACTCCGGGTTTTTCCTGCCTGCTCTACCAGAGGCTGTAAAAGGTGTTGTGTTCTCAGGCTGTTTTTTTCTGATGAGAATCAGATTTCAGCAAGATGTACTCCGGTGTTCACTATGGTCTATACCCCTTCCTGTGCGTGCAGAGCTTTCCCCCAGTCAAGTCTAGTTACGCTGCTGTGTTTATCTAGCCTGTGTCTTAGATGGCACCTACTAATCCTTCAACTCCCAGACACACCAGCAATTTTTCAGACGCACCTGTAGGGCTTAAGTGCCTCCAAGAAAAGCGACCTTCAGCTGAGCATCACCATTTACGAGGCACATCCTGACGGCTTCCAACTTGCGCCATTAGATGCCACAGGGCCGCGTCCCTGAGAAGTCTCTGTGCCTCTTTTCATCTTGTAGTCCATGATTTTAGAAAAAGAGCAAATCACTTTTCCTCTATTGTATAAGAATAACAAGGTATCCACCCTACAGCTGTAACTTTAGTTTTTTCTTCTTTAAATTTATTTTTATTTGGAGGATAACGGCTTCACAGTAGTGTGTTGCTATCTGCCACACGTCAACAAGAATCGGCCACAGGGGTGCGTACGTCCCCGCCCTCTTGAACCCAGCTGTAACTTTAAATCCCATGGATGTAAGAAAACACATGCTGGATTTACCCCGCATCAGACGCGTCTGTTTGCTTTCAGAACACAGGGTGTACAGATCCCCACACTGCGTCCATCATCACCCTGTAACCCCGGCAGACTGCTGACCTCAGGCCAGCATCTGAGCACTGTTCACTACTCTGTCCTCCGCGGTTCCCACAGCGCTTCTATCTTTCTGCAAGGAAGCAGCTATAAAATTAAGGAACTCTTTGAGCCCACCCTCCCACCTCTCCTCCCCCTCGTCATTCGGGGTCTGAGACAACCAGGTCAAGGCAAGCACACCTCCGTCCTTGGGGATCTGCGAGGAGCCGGGGTGTAACCACACTGGGCGCCACCCCCTGGGGCTGACCGCTCCTGAAACCACCCATGTGGCATCTTTCACTGTCTTCTCTCAAGTCCAGATTCTCATCGCCTGGGCAACAGGGAAAATGCTGGTGGCTGGGCTCCGCCCACTGGCCGCTTTCCCTGACTGCGCCTACCTAGGCTGACCCCCCAGGTCATTTCTCAGACCTGCTCCAGCGGTCTAACTGGGGCAAGTGCCCCCAACTCCACCCCCAGCCAGGGCTCCCCCCCCCCCTTGGCCTGCAGCACAGCACAAGAGGGGAGCTTCTTAGGGAGGCACGGGGAGCCACAGCCCAGACCCACTGCGTGGGAATCTCGGGGGTTCACCCAGCTCCACCCCCCTGGCCTCAGACTCTCCAGGTGATGCCCAGATGGGCTCAAGCTCCAGAGCTGGGTTTCAGGAGCGTCACCCTTTCAGCCCCCTAGAGAACAGGCACGTCTCTGGTGGAAATGCTCCCACGGTCCCCACGTCAACTTGAAAGGGCTCAGGGCTCCCTGCAACGGCCAGCCAAAATGGATGCTCTTTTCCTAAACAACTTTTGGGCCTGTTTTTCTAAACTTTGAGGCTCAGCAAGAATTAGCCCGGCCAGGCTCCAGGAAAACAAAGAGAAAGGTGACGTCTGCGGGCCTGGGAGCCGCCAGCGGGCGGGCGGGCCCCGGGCGGGCCCCTCCCAGCGGATGTTTCCCACTTCACAGATGGAAGGACCCCCTGGGCCACCTCCTGGGGGAGTGGCTGACACCCCCCTCCCCCAGGTGTTCACAGACGGGAAGAGGAGGGGGGGCTCTGGGGCCAAAGAAAACAGATCTGTCTCCCAGGTCGGAAGACTCACTGTTGAACTCAAAGGCGACCTGAGCGCTCTGATGAGGTCTTTGGGAAAAGACCGACACTGGGCCAAATGCAAAACAAAGCGAGAACCCTGCGCCAGAACTTGGGCACTGAGGTCAAGGTACCCCCGGAAGGGAAGCGGTTTCTAGACGACCCGCCTGCCCGCCCTCCTCCCGCCCCCGGCCCTCACCTTTCACCACTGTGGCCTCTTTCAGGTGATGCGTCAAGAAGTCGATGCTGGCGTAGGCGTTGGCCCCGGGCAGGGCACCGGGGCCTGGCCCCCCGCACACCCCGGCGGGGCTGGCAGCGCCCACGGCGCTGATGAGACCCCCGAGGCTCCGGGTGCGGCCCCAGGCGCTCCTGTCGCCCGTCTGCCCGTGTGGGTGCTGCTGCAGGGGCGGTGACAGCCCCGGCTCGTCCCTCACGTCGATGGCGATGTAGTTGAGGCCATTCTGAAAGCCGGCGGACGTCTCCCGGCGCATCGGCGAGCTGTTGCCCCCGGGACAACCAACCAGGCTGCCGCCGGGCTGAGCCGACGTCCAGGCCCGCGCCTGCTGCGGCGTCGGCGGGGGCAACTGGCGCGGTGACGAGGGGGGCTCGTCACCCCCACCCAGGCCGCCGCCGCAGCCCCCTTCGCTGCCTTTCCTGAGAGAAACGTTCTCCACCGAGGCCGAGTTGTGACGCTTGGGGGTGTGAGCGAAGGACGGGGACACGGGGGTCACAGTGGTGGTCGAAGAGAAGGTCTCGGAGCTGTGGCGGCGGCGGCCCCCCTGCGGGTCCGCGCGGATGACCTTGGCCCCCCGGTGCGGGTCTGGGGGCTGGCCGGCCTGCAGGAAGGCCTCGACCCCTGACACCTGATCCATGAGACTCAGCCTCTTGAGGCCAGACACGGGGCTGCTCACGCGGGCACCGTCGGGCTTCGGGGGCGCCGCGATTGGTTGTGGCGGGGTGGCGGCCACGCCGAAGGCCATCTCGGTGTAGTCACCGTTGTCCCCCGTGTCCGAGGCCGCGCCTGGGCCCTGGGAGGTGGTTGCCACAGGCAGGCGGTACAGCTCACCCGGCGGGGGCGGCAGGGGCGGCGGCTGCAGGGCCGAGGAGGAGGCGGCCGGGCGAGGGGGCAGCGGCGGGTACACAGAGGCCTCGGGGGACAGCAGAGCGTCCAAGGAGCCCACGGGGTCCCGGCCCTGGGCGCCCGGCTGTGGTGACTTGGGCGAGCTGAAGTCGAGGTTCATGTAGTCGGAGAGCGGGGAGCGCTGCCGGCTGTCCCCGCTCGTGCCCGGGGTGCCGGAGCCCAGGGACGAGGCCGGGCTGCTGGCGGACAGCAGCGACGACGAGGAGGCGGCCGAGGCCAGGAGCGGGGGCGCGGGCGGCGACAGGCGCGCGCCGGCCTCCCCGAAGTCGATGTTGATATACTCGCCCGGACTCCTGGGCTCGGGGGGCAGCGGGTACTCGTGCATGCGGGGCAGAGCCGGCAGCCCCTCCAGGGACAGGCGCGTGGGCCGCACTGCCCGGCAGCGCTGATCCGGGAAGGCACTGGCCGCCTGCGCGGGGCCGGGGGCCGGCTCCAGCTGCTCCTCCTCCAGGACGCGGCCCACGGGCGAGCTCATGAGCACGTACTGGTCGCTGTCGCCGTGGCAGGCATGGGGGGCCTTGTAGGAGCGGGGCAGGGAGCTATAGCAGTAGCCGGGCACGCCCCGCAGCGTCTCCCCCGCAGCAGAGAAGAAGTCGGGCGGGGTGCCCGCGGTGCCCGCGTCGCTGGGGGACATGTTGAGGTAGTCCCCGTTGGGCAGCAGCTTGCTGTCGGCGCTCTCCATGGACAGCTTGGAACCGCACCACATGCGCATGTACCCGCTGTCCTCGGGGGAACTCTCGGCCGGGGAGCCGGTCTTGTAGCCGCCCGCGGTGCCCGGGAAGGCCCTGCTGGCCGCCGACACGGGCGTGGGCACCGCTGGCCCCGCAGGGGGCAAGGCGGCGGGCCCGGGGCGTGGCTGCAGGATCTGCTTCGGGGCCGACACGCTGGTGGGGCTCATGGGCATGTAGTCGTCGCTCTTGCAGCTCCCGCTGCCCGGCCCCAGGAGGGCCACGCCGGGGGTCATGGGCACGTAGCCGTCGTCCGCGCCCAGGTTACTGCTAGAGCTGCGGTGTGAGCCAATCTCGATGTCGCCGTAGTCCTCGGGGTACGGGTGGTAGGCCACTTTGGGAGAGGACGCGCTGCAGGACGGGCACAGGCGGCCGGAGCTGCCCGAGAAGGTGGCCCGCATCAGCGTGTACTCGTCCAGGGACGCGGAGGACGGCTGGGGCGCCGGCCGCTGCCGGGCAGGCGTGGTCAGCGAGTAAGTCCGCTTCCTCAGCCCTCGGTCCAAGTCCGGGGCGCCGTCCCCGGAGACCCTGCGGTAGGCGCGGCCTCCGCAGTGGCTCAGCGGCCGCTCCATGGCCATGTAGCCGCACAGCTCGCCCGCGCTGCCGTCCCGCGCCGGGGGCGTCTCGGCGACGGACTCGGGCGTGTTGCTCCGGCGGCCGCAGTAGACCCGCAGGTCCCCGGGGCTGGAGCCGTACTCGTCCAAGGACATGAAGCCGGGGTCGCTGGGGGAGCCCGAGGCCGAGGCGCTGCCGCTGGAGGGGCGCTGGGGGTGCAGGGGGTGCTGCAGGTGCGGGTGCGGGCCGGGGGGCGGCGGGTAGGAGCCCGAGCCGTGCCCGCTGCTGGACGACAGGCTGCCGGGGCTGGTGGCCGCCGGGGGCGAGTGCGCCACGGGCATGGACATGGAGCGGCTGTGCTGCAGGCCGCCNAAACTCGAAGAGCTCCTTGAGCGCCTTCATGGCCTCCAGGATGGTCTCGTGGATGTTCTGCGCCACCACCGAGTCGTCCGCCTGCATCCACAGCTCGCCGGGGCCCGTGACGGCCGAGCGGCCCACCTCGATGAAGAAGAAGCTGTCCGAGTGGCCGCAACGGCGGATGCTCATGAGCTGCAGCGTCACCGACGGCTGCTCGCAGTTGAGCTTCACGAAGCCGATGGTGCGCGCCGACAGGCACAGGCGGTACACGCCCGTCAGGTTCTTGCTCTGGCCCAGGCCCTTGGGCTTCAGGTTCACCTGCCACACCTCGCGGTAGGCGGCCGTGGCGGGCGCCACCAGCCCGTAGCTGTCATCGGCCGCGGCGGCGCCCGCCGAGCCGCCCAGGGCGCCGGGCAGGGAGGCGCTGCAGGACCCGGAGGTGGCGGCGGCGGCGGCGGGGGGCGCGTCGCCGGCGCCCGCGCGGCCCTCGCTGACCAGGTCGGTGAGCGCGCGGTACCAGCCCTCCTGCTCCTGCTCGTTCTCAGCCGCCACGGCGAAGTACTCGTCCTTGGTGTAGAGGGCGATCAGGTACTTGTGCTTGGCGTCGGCGCGCTTGTTGATGTTCAGGCAGCAGTCGAGCGCGATGACCCGCTTCGGGGCGCCCGCCTTGCTCCGCCACTTCTTCTCGCTCTCGTAGTACTCGAGACGCGGCGGCTGCGGCGCCGGGCCCCCGCCCGCCCCCGCCTCGTCGCCGCCCGCGCCGGGCCCGCGCAGCACGAAGAAGCGCTTGTGGCCGTGCTTCTGCTTGCGCAGGTAGCCGCACTTGCGCACGCTGTGGTTGTTGTTGTTGTTGTTGTTGTTGAGGTTGGGGCCGTCCCCGCCCGCCGGCCCGGGGGGCCCGTGCTCCGGCGGGCTCGCCATCGCGGGCGCTTCAGGCCGCGCCGCCCGGCCCGGCTTGGAGGGGCCGGGAGGGGGGGCGCGGAGCGCAGGGGGGCGCGGGCGGCTCCCCACCACCTCCTGCTCGCCCGCCGGAGCCCGCGTCCCTCGGGCCCAGGAGGTGGGGAAGGTTCGGGGAGGCCCCGCGGGGGCCGGCACCCGCGCGGTGGCGCAGCGCCCTCCGCGATCCGGGGCCCCAGAAGGTNGGGCCGCGTTTCCCGCCGTCCCCTCCCCCGCCCCCTCCCGCGGGGGGCCCGGGCCGGGGCGGGGCGCGGCGGGGCGGGGGCGGCCGGGCCTCATTAATCAGCGGCTCGTTGCGGAGGCCGGCGGAGCAGATGCCACCCAGGGCGGGAAAAGGGGCGCGCGGGAGGGGCGGGGGCCGGCCGCCGCGCGCAGGGCCCGGCCCTCCCGCCTTTGACTCAATTAATTGGGCTCCGAGCTTCCGCCGGGGAGGGGACGCTGCAGGGGACGGGGGCCGACCGAGATCAAGGGGCGAGACCGCCAGCCCGGGCTCGGGGCTTGGAAGGGGGCGGTGGCACCACCCCCACACCCCCACCGGGCCCCGCACCGCCTTGCCGCCGCCCCACTGGCTGGGGCCTGGAGGAGGCAGTGAACTTGGCTGCTCCCTCGAAATTCCCTACCCCCAGCACACACTTCGGCGCGCGGATCCGGTGCCCGGGCTGGGGGTGGGCGCGCGCCCCCCCCCGCCCCACCACCCCCGCCTCGGCGTGTTCGCGCCTGGGTGGTTCCCTTGGTGCCCGGCCGCGGCTTGTTTACGAGCATCCCATTAGTCACCGGTGAGCTCGGGATCGATAGCAGCTTCGAGCCCCTTCCTGGAAAGGGAGCCGGGGTCAGCAAGGGGCGCGGATGGGGCGCCCCCAACCCCGGGCCGCGCGGGCCCCAGGCGCTCCCGGGGTCCCACCCGCTCAGGGCTGCCCTTCCCCCGCACCCGATCGTGGGCCCTTTCCGGGGCGTCATCAGCGCCATTCACTTGTCAGGTTCTCGGGAAGTTGAAATCGTCTGTTTGGATGTAACAGGAGAAAGGGGAGGACGAGCGGGCGGAGAAGACTGCAGTTTTCGTCGTGCCGGGAAGAGGGCGGGCTCCGGCGAGCCGAGCCGGGTCCCTGCGGCCGCGGCCCGCCCCCCGCCGGCCCCCGGCCCCGCGCGCAGAGGCGCGGGAGTGGGCGTCTCCGGACCTGCGCGCCCGCAGCGGGTGCCGCGTGAAAGATGCCCTTGGATGCTTTAGATATTTCCATCTACGTGGCTTCTGTGACTTTCAAAGTCGATTACAAATAAGGATCCACCGTATAACGCATCTCCTAAATGACTGTGAGGGCTGCTGCTGAGAGTGGGAGTCCCCGAGTTCAGATCTCAGCAGGCTACTAATCCTGCGGAAACTAAAAAGGCTATAGACGCAAGCCTTGGTCGGGTTTTTTGGTTTGTTTTTAATTGTGTCTTCATGAAATAATTTTGAAACAAAAAAAATTTTTTTTTAACTGCTGGAAGTTTGCCTTTGAATGCCGTCTATACCTTACGAAAGTCTTCGTTTTCAGTGTCATGGAGTCTTACATTTAAGAAGAATAATTTAAGATTGTCATTTTTGAAAGAGTGATAAATGTTTTAACATGTTTGTAAAAATGTGACCTGAAAATTCTGCTAGTTAATATTATGGGCCAAGAGATCCCTATTCACCGAAAGATAGATCGTAGTAGTTTTGTTAGTTGCTATATAAATGATGGTTACTGCTGAGTAACTTAAGCAGAAGAAGGATCAATGACACAAAAGTCATCATAGAATTTGCCTCAAAGAGGTGTGTTCAAAGTCGATCCTTCATTTTAAACAAACCATGCTTTACAAAATAATACTTCTAGGAGTGGCGGAGCTCTGTGTGTGTGTGTGTGTGTGTGTGTGTGTGTGTGGGCATGCGGGTGTGTGCACATTTGTGGGCGTGGGTGTGTACGGACGTTTGTGTGTGTGTGATTGTGTGTGTGTGGGCGTGCGGGTGCGTGCCCGTTTCTGTGTGGGCATGGGTGTGTACGGACGTTTGTGTGTGTGTGATTGTGTGTGTGTGGGTGTGCGGGTGCGTGCACGTTTCTGTGTGGGCGTAGGTGTGTACGGACGTTTGTGTGTGTGTGATTGTGTGTGTGTGGGCGTGCGGGTGCGTGCACGTTTCTGTGTGGGCGTGGGTGTGTACGGACATCTGTGTGTGTGTGTGATTGTGTGTGTGTTCTGTTCATTTTAGATCTTCCTGTCCCTTTTATGGTAGCAGATATTGCCTAGCAAGTGTCCACCCAGCAAGGAGAGTTGATGGGGCTTCTCATCTGGGAGCTTCAAGACCATGCGACCCAATTCTGTTGGCCCTGTGATCATTTCCAGTAAAGGGGCCTGCCTAAATGTTCAGTGACCCTAACAAGCAGAGGGTGATTGTGGGGTAACCTCTTTCCGGCATCATGCCATAATAATTTCTTCAAAGAAATGATTTTTCTGCTTGATTTTGGCTTTTCAAACAAAATTAAGCTTTCAAATACTCATTGATTATTTAGTTGCTGTGCCCTTCGGATGTCAACAAGTCCATCTTGGGTTGTTCCCGCCCCGCCAAGCTGTTCCAATGGGTGTTCAATACCAGCGTCCCAGTAATGGTGTCAGAAGCTCTCTGCTGGTAGCTGACACGCCCGTATACTAGTTAGTCGGTCCCTGGTTGGGGACAGACAAGCCAGGGTGAAGAATTTGTCTTCTGTATGAGTGGCGTTCTCATACTCTAGGATCACAGAGCTGCAGCAAAACTGCAAACTAATTGTCATTCTGAAGTCCTAGAACCTCTAGCTGCAAGTGTGGGAGTACAATTTCCATTCTCATTAAGAAGTCAGCCCGTGAAACCAGCAGAAAGGAGCTCTGTAATTAGAAACATCCCAGTCTTCCTCAACGAAGGAGCTGGTTGTCTTTCTCCCTTTCCATTGCCAAATAAGCTATTTATTTATTTAAAGCTTGTTTGACACCTTGTGATTTTTCCAACTGTTCTCCAGCAAAAGTCAGCAATAACATCTGCCAACCTGTTCCCTGTGCAGGGCTGGGTGCTGCTTGCCTGGCCTGTTGCCAGCTAGAGCCTGGATGAAATTTTTTCCCATGGCCCAAAATGGATAACAAAATGGCCATATCTTCAAACAAATATTGCTTTTTGTTTGGTTGGTTTTATTGTTGTTTTAATATAAAATCTTACACAGTGATTTTTTTTTTTTTAACCAAACCAAAAAGTCCTTTCTGGAATAATTTAATTACCTTTCATAGAGTAGTCAATTTCATAAAAGTGTGGTATTAAAAATATATAATAACTCATAATACAAATAATAGTAATAATAATGTGTGCTAGTCGTTCAGTTGTGTCTGACTCTGACCCCGTGGACTGTAGCCCACCAGGCTCCGCTGTCCATGGAATTCTCCAGGCGAGAATACTGGAGTGGGTTGCCATTCCCTTCTTCAGGGAGTAATAATAATAATGAACATTAATTTTCTTCTCTGTTTCATATAAGGAAGCATATATAGCAGGAGAAAAGTTAACGTGGGAGCTTTTTGTTTTTAATTCTTAACCCTGTAGCTGTTTCACAGTAGTTTTTGTCTTGATGGATTCTTTATGAACTGACTAAGCTGATCAGTCAGTGAAATATTATATAAGCAGTTAGAGTAGCTTTAACTGAAAATGTGTTTTAGGAGTAGAGATTTTAACATCAGAGGTCTATGTCCTAGTCTTTAGAAAGGGCGGCAGCATTCCATCAAGTTTGCTGTATTAAATACTGTATTTCAGTTGCTCATGTAATACATTACCCTTCCTGTGATGAATGAACTCCAAGGACAGTCTTTGCCTCATCCTGGATCCATATGGGGGCTTCCTGCACTTTAGCTGCTGGTTCTTCCTCACAAACATATTTGCTAATATGTTTCAACTGAAATTTCACAAGTGTTTTGTAATATGCCAGTGCTGTGCAGCAGAATGTTTTACATGAAAGAATCTAGCTGCTGTTCGGATCATTTACTGTCAAGGGGTGGCTTTGCAAATGTTTGAAAAAGCAGGATTTGTTCATAGGCTGTATCGTTTTCTTGGAAGTGGTAAAGCTTTCCACTTCAGTATTTGCTCTTTAAAAATCCGGATGCATTTTTAATAATTTTTTATTTTTATTTTTTAATATTTTTATATTTTATGTTTATATTTATTTTTTATTTTTTAATAATCCTTTTAAAAAAATATTCTTTGGGGGAAGAAGAGTTTTCTAAAGTAAATGATTTCTTATGTGCCTATAGTCTTGACCAAACTACTCTGACGCTCAAGAATTATTCTGAAAAGTGTATAAATTGAATTAATACTGCTCAGAATAATGCTCAGTTATGTGGTAAGCACCAGGACAGCTAATCCAATATTTAGAACATTTTCAGTTTTAAAAGAAAATTATATTGAAGAAATATTAACATATAAACAAGCAATCACATAGTGACTGCAGTCAGTGACTCAGATTTCTTATTCATTCATCCCTGAATTCTGTTGTGTTTGAATTTTGAAAATATGTTTCTAGGTTAAAACACGCACACACATTTTTCCCCTAAAGACTTTCCATGACTGAAATTAAAAGTTTACATTAATGGCTATATAACATTACTGAATCATGAAGACAAGCAAAAACTATTCCTTCGCAGAAAATCCCTCTTCCTTGGAATTCTTGGACCTGAAATATAATATACTTACGTTTTGCATGACTAACTTGATGTCCTGCTATGTAGCTGCTGAGTTAAAGTGTTATGTTCTATTTGTTTGTTTTGTTTTTTCCTATCAGATCAGAATTAAAGTGTCTACTTCTCAGTATATACTTCCTGAGCAGATGACATTAAAAAGGGGGGGGGGGGGCTCTAAAATGACCCAGCTCTATTTTCTGGGAGGGGAGGAGGGTGAGCAGTGAGGTCAGCTGGGAGTGCCCTTGAACACAGCCCAGACGTCAAGG